CTGGCATATAGTAGCAGCAATAGATTGGATACTGATAGAAATTGGATTTGGAAATTGGGTTTTGAACTAACCTCATTTGTCTTCAATCCGGATTTCCACACAATTAACTTGGACGAATGCTAGAACTCACAAAGAGATCTAGTTCTTCCGACGAACTCACTAAGAGATCTTGGAAGAATGAACTCACAAAGAGATCAAAAGTAGAAATTTTCATTTATCAATCATCATCCCCCAAATACAAAACAACTAGCCTATAAATAGGCCTCATGAAAAGAAAAAAAAATAATAAAAGACTAAAGTGCCCTTCGGGCTACAATACTACATGACCACCCGTAAGGATATAAAGGGAAAAACAATAATATGAAATAAACTAGTACATATAAATAAATAACTCAAGATCGTAGCCGTTGATCTTCGATGTCCTCATCACTCCTGAGTCGCTGTTCCTGGCCCACTTCTCCAGATTCTTCTGATTTTCCACCAGCTGTTCCAACTTCATGGCCTCCCCCAAGTCACTAGGCATCAGAACTTTCACTGCCACTCGGATCTCTTCCTTCAACCCCTTCATGAAGTTCCCCTCCAATACCGTATCTGATAATCGCTCCACTCTACTGGCTAGGTGCTCAAACTGCTCCCGATAGTCTGCTACTGATCCCTCCTATGCCAGAGCAAAGAACTGCTCATAGAAATCTCCTCCCTGGTCGGTTTGGAAACATTCTATTATGCAGTCCTTAAATTCCCTCCAGTCCCTGATAGGTCTCATCTGATCTCTCCACTGGTACCATGACAGTTTCTTCCCCTCCAATCATAGGCCTACTACTGTCAGCTTCTCCTCCTCTGTTAGTCCATTAACGACAAAGTACCTCTCCACTTTATATATCCACCCATACACATCCTCCCCCTCGAAGATAGGCATCTTCAACTTCCTCACCTTATGATCTCCACCATTCCCCCTTATTCCTCCATAGCTTTCCCTCTCCCAAGTGCTCGGCCCACCCCATGTCTCCCGGTTTTCCCTTGCCATGCCATAACCCAAACCCCCTTTGAATTCCCCTCTTCTTCCTTCAAAATCAGTACCTCGACAACCATAATGTACCTCACGGCGTTCCCAATCAATACCCATTTGCTCCGTCCCTCCATACATATACCTTTCCCCATACATACCTCATCTATCCTCCCTCTGGAAAGGCTCCATAAAGGGTTTTCTTCTTTCCCCCTCCATGATTTCCACCTTGTCATCATCCCTACAAATTTCTGAATTAATGTTTTTCTTTCCTCCTCTTTTGCCACAGAAGCCGCCGTTTGGTTTTGAATTTCCAACATTTTCTTCATCATGTCCTGGAGATCGGCTACTTGTCCTTCTATGGAGGAAATCCTTTCCTCCACAGTTGTCTTGATTTGGTTCATCTCCCCTTCAAGCCTTTCTTCTAGCGCATCAACTTTCTTAGCCGCCATCTTGATCCAAACTTTTGTAAATCCAAAAATTCCGGATTTGGATTAAAAAAACAGCACTTGGTCCGTTCCCGACCAAAAAATCAGCGGCTGAAATTTGCCCAAAACAGCCCACGAACGGCCCCAAGACTTACTCTGATAGCAATTTGATAGGAAACACTTGTAGATCTCAAGTATTTCGAATCAATCTTCGAAAAACAGCGAGAAATCTTCACAAAAGTCCACACAAAACCATGAAAACAATAGATAATTTGTATTATTTGATGAAAGGAACACGAAAAATAGCAAGATACACTTGATCGTCAATTCGAGAGGAGGATCGATCTCTCCCAAATCTCTAGACGTCGCTAGAGCCCAAAGAAAACCTAAATCTAAGAAATCTCAAATTTCAGTCAAATTAAAGATGCCATAACCCTAGGAAAACAAAGTATTTAATGCATACAAATCAAAAGGAAATCCCTAAACAGTCCCTACATTCAAATTTCCCTCTCAAAACCCTAAAAAATCCTTCCTAAAAGGTTCCAGCTGATTCGGGCGTGCGTTCGACGTCCGAAATCGCGTACAGAAGGCGGATGGTTCCACCTTCTTATGTGTGAACCGGTCCAGTCAGACCGGTTGGACCGGTCCAATGGACTGGTTTAACATAACTCTACTCCAACTATCCACCGCTATTGAACAACGATTCTCCTTCCGACAGTGGTTGATTGTTCGTCGTCCACCCACTCCTCTGAATCCCGGTAACTCTCTGTTGACCACTACTCTCGGCGCCCTCTGTTTATTCGGGGCATCAATTTTATTGTCTAAAAATCTTCCTCCGCTAAATCCACTCCAAGTGAGCGAAGGTGAGGGAAACTAATAGGTGAATTTTCTAATTGTTAGAAGGTGGATTCCTTGTTAATGACGTAAGTGTTGTAACCTTTGATTTATATTAATATCCTGTTATTTTGATTGTAATTCTTTACTGTCAAAATCTCAATCATCCCTTAGCATTTGATCCCATGGTCAGGATGAGAATCACTCCAATATCCTTCTATATTTGGGTAGCTGAATTAGGAAGGATTATAGTGAGGAAATTATGTATCAATTAGAAGTTATTTATTTCTTTATTAAGACATATTGTATAGATCTATAAATAGGGATAATTTTGTATAATAAGTAGAAGGTATTTTTACCCTTCTCAAATTCTATGAATTCTAACATGGTATCAGAGCCGATCGAGAGGCCTTCATTGCCGAACGATCCAACCTTCTAACGCTGCAAGAGGCCGACGTAGAAGATAGGCCTCCAATTCTGCCAGACGGAAGTGCCGATTCTGCTAGTTGCTGCTGCAGACGGAAGCCTGGACTCCGTCAAAACTATCATCGAAGGAGCCTAGACGAACAACCATGAAGGAGACAAAGGAGACGAAGGAGAGAAAGTATCGTACCCGTTCGAAAACGTCCGTGCAGAAGACGAAGCCGAACGGAAGCCCGATCCGATCGTTGGACACTTGCGACTAGCCGGACGAAGTCACCTATCCGACTCGCGGGAGGAAGCCATTGCGACCAAGCTCGTGGTCGGCACGCCTACGTGCGACTTGGGGGGTGAAACCGCGCCCCGTGCCTTGTCCCATTCTGAGCCTTTTTTTTAAGGCTTTGACAGCTCGTTTTGTCCAAAAAAAAAATCTTTCTCATCGACCTTTATTGTCGACAAGGGAAATTTTCTCCGAGAAACCTTCATTGCTGAATTTCTGAGGAATACAAAGTTCCCACCACCGACCTTCATTGCTGGAATTATGAGAAATACAGGTTCCCACTACCGTCCTTTATTGCTGGAATTATGAGAAATACAGGTTCCCACTACCGTCCTTTATTGCTGAAATTCTGAGAAATATAAGTTCCCACAACCGGCCTTAATTGTCGGAATTTTGAGGATAGTTTTCCATCATCGGCCTTCATTACCGACTTTCTCTGGTGGTTGATATGCTACCATAACCAATGCAGCTCTACCTCTGAGCGAGTAATTGCAAGCTGGTCTCCAGCTTGAGGGAGAGTGTCAAAATCTCAATCATCCCTTGTCATTTGATCCCACGGTCTGGATGAGAATCCGTGGGAGGCCACCTGGATCATGCCAATATCCTTCTATATTTGGGTAGCTGAATTAGGAAGGATTATATTGAGGCAATTATGTATCAATTAGAAGTTATTTATTTCTTTATTAAGACATCTTGTATAGATCTATAAATAGAGATAATTTGGTATAATAAGTAGAAGGTATTTTTATCCTTCTCAAATTCTATGAATTCTAACATTTATCTATCGAAATCAAATACAAACGATTACAAGAATTTATCTTTTGGGAAAAGCATTATTTGATAGCTTGTATAACTTAACAACTTATATTAATTTCTCGCAATTCTTGAAAACATAGTTGTTTCACATCACATATAATTCATAAAATGTTGTGGGTGTTGGACTCAAAAACATGAACAAACCAATGCCAATATTGTGCCTAATCATAAACATTTGTCAATGATGGTAAAATATATGTCGACTAATGTTTCCAGATGTCGAATTCTAGATGCCCCCCACATCCAACTCACAATACCCTTCAACATTCAACTCCTAATGATCGTCATCACTCTTTATCAACACAAAGCATCTGTTATCCAAATTGTGTCGATGTTCTGCTCAAGAACTGATTTCCACCATCGTTCTTCGCCAACATCATTTAATAGACATCTTGCATGCCCCGTCGATATCACCAGCATTCAAGACCACCTACTAACACCTCAACAGGTTTCAAATAATCAAAATTATTATATTGTATTCATGTCTTCCTTGATGATGTGGAGGACATTAGTAATTTCAAACTAAAGCTAGTGGATCTATTCCAACTGGGCAAGGGACCCATTTTTTTTCTCTTAAAGTTTTCCAAGTAAAAGATCTTTAAACCCTCTTTCTTTGCAACCCTCTCATATATGCGTGTGTGATCTTTGAAAAAGCTGAAGACACAAGTCTCAATCAATATCACTATAAATTTTCTAACATACAAAAATAGTAGATCTCTTGACATGAAACTAAATTAGTTCTCTAAAATTGACGTAATATTTCTAATACTTTCTTCGATAACTTTATAATAGGACTCATTCATTTGAGGCACTATAATTATTACAATCTCGAAAATCATTTGTGTTCTTAAAAATTATATTAAAATATTTTTTTGACCCTGTCATTTTCTTAGTCATCGAAATTCTATTGAAATAATTTATTAATCAAATTATTGCAATATCTATCATAACTTTCTATAAACCTCAATGGGTATCTTATCTGGACCTCACGCCTTGATTTTCAAGTTTGACAACGATTGGGATACATACCCATTTCCTTTTCCCAAATGAATTTTATAGGGGCTTGTAAAGAATTACAGGAGAAATTTTATCCGGAACAAAATTGTGCGAGTTGATATTGAAAAGAATTCTCACTATGCCTAGTTCAGTATCTGAAGAGTCTCTCGTGATAAAAAGTTACTACACGTAAACAAACGTACCAAATTCAGCAGGCACATACCTTTTCATACATTTTAATGGCTGGCATGTTAGATGCCCTCACAAACAGATCTACAAAGTAAGCCTTGTCACTGCGATAAAGAAAAACTCTGGTCAGTAAATGTGGCAGAAATAATCAAAGCACTCTGACAATTTAAGCAGAATTCATAACTAATCCTAATTCTTTAAAAACGGATATCAAACATGGACCATACAGACTGGTTAGCCAACGCATAAAAAAAGCTTTTTGTGGATAAAAAGGCAAATCAGACTACCATAAAACAAGGATTAGAATCAGTTACACGCACAGAAAGAGGGAAATGAAGGGACAGAAGAAAAAAGTTTCAATGCCACGGTTGATTAAGAATTAGCCAATTGCTCATTCTCCGTTTTGATACATGAACCAATTGTGTACGTGAGACCACCATAGAAAAAATGAAAACTGATAGAGCCTCTTGGATAATATGCAAAACCAGAAAAAGAACATTGGTTGATTGAAAGTTAAAAAAACAAAACCTCCTAAATAAATTGCATTTTTTTTGGACTAAACCCTACGACTTGCAATTTTTTTGGACGAACATACAAAAATAAACCTATAGATTGGAAACTTAAAATGTAGATTACATTATTTAACATCTCATAATATGCATGAAACAAGTAACAAAGGTTACCATATTGAAAGCAATCTTACAGTATTGTAGCATGATAAGTGTTGTGTCCTAGAATATTTATGGCGGCAGAGAAGTATAAAGTTTAACGTCTTAACATTGTACGAAGATCCAACACGCAAACAGATGAAAGAAGAGGGTGTGGCATTCATAAGAGACACCAGAGTTTTTACGTGGAAACCCCTGAAAACAGGGAAAAACCACGGGGTCTAGCCCAGTTTGAATGAATCCACTATTATTTGCAATCGATTACAAATGAGACCCTTCCTTATGAGGAAGGTCTCGGCTCAAAGTAGCAAATATATATCATACAGAGTGCATTATATAGTGGAAGTTCAAAGAATAAGTGTTGATATATTCGTTTGGGTGGTAATATCATAGTCGGTGAGCTATGTAGGTCGAAAGGACCGTAGTAGAGCGGCGGAGGTTAGGAGGATCATTGTTAGGTGACGGTGGTCGGAAGCACCGTAGTCGTCGGGCAACGGTGGTTAGAAGAACCATAGTTAATGATGGTAGTCAGAAGGACAGTAGTCGGTGGACAACGAAGGTCAGAAAAGATCGTAGTTGGCGGACGGACGGAAGTCCAACGATGGTCGGGAAGAACTCAGGCAGTGGTCAGCGGACTGGCGGAGGTCTGATGGTGGCCGAGAAGAACTCCAGCGGTGGTCGGCGGACAGGTGGAAGTACGGCGATGGCCGGGAGGAACTCCGGCGGTGGTCTGCAAACGGGCGGAAGTCCAGTGATGGTCGGCGGATTGGCGGAAGTTCGACCATGGTCGGCAGTGAGGAAGCTTCCAGATTCTTCCCTTCTCTTCCTCCTTCTCCCCCTCTCTGTTGGTGGTTGAGAAGAACTTCGGAGGTGGTCGAAGGATCGGTAGAAGTCTGATAGTGGTCGGCGGAGGTCTGCAAACTGGCGAAAGTCTATTGATAGTCGAGAAGAACTCCGGCGATGATCGGCGGACTGGGGAAAGTCCGACAGTGGCTGGAAAGAACTACGGCGATGGTCGGCAGACTGGCAGAAGTCTGACAGTGGTCGGTGGACTGGCAGAAGTTAGACGGTGATCGGTGGCAAGAGAGCTCCCAAACTCCTCCCTTTCCTTTCCTTCTTCTTCCCTCTCTCTCATGAGAAGAGTGGAGGCTATTTATAGTTTTTTGAGAGTGGCATAGTTTGTAAATATGTGGAGGATCAAAGTCAAAATGGGAGTGATTTAAATGGACGGCCAATATTGATCCCTCTGATCGTGGATTATTTAATGGTCATTTGAATGCCTTAATGATATCGAAATTCAATGATCCGGGGCTCGTTGGATTCGTCTCGTCAAGCCGCTCGATTCGACTATAAGCATGTCATGTTTGAAAACCGTTTGGTAATCGAATTATAGTTTGAACCTTCCAAATTTGCTTTGGGTCTTTGATTTGGACTCATTTGGGCTCGGATTGAGTCGAATTTGGTGTCGTTGGATTTGTATTTTTTAGACGTTCAGTTTGACTATAAGTTTGTTGTAATTGGAGTTTAGATGATCCCAGATTTAATTTTGGAAGCTTACCGCTCAATTTTGCTCCGAGATTCGTGGCTGATTAAGATATTTTTTGATGATATATCAATAAGAATAATAAAACGAGTAAAGAACATAATTTGAAAAACAATAAATTTGACTATTATAAATTAAGAGCACGCAGTAATTCTAAAAGAAAACATGCAAAGCGTGATGAAAACCTACCGATCATGGAAATTAATATGTAAAGTGGTCTTTTTTATCTTCAAAAATTGAAGCAAATCACACAAGAACCTAGACTGAAGCCTAACACTTGAAGCCTTTTGGGACTAATTTACAAAAAAAAAAAAAAAAAAAAATAAGTCTAAAGCCTAGCACTTGAAAACTGTTGGGATGAATTTACAAATATAAACCTATAGATTGGATACTTCAAAAGTATATCAATATTATTTCATAAATTAGATAGAAAGCAATCTTACAACAATGTAGAACAACAAGAGTGTAATAATGCATGCAAAGAATAAAATTTGCAAAATATGGATAAAGTTTCACAAGTTTAACTATTATAAATTGGACAAAGAACCTGGAACACAATAAGTTGTTCCGCTCAGGAAAAGGTGGCACTATAGCACGAACCCCGCTTTTACAAGCTTTTAAGATCCCACCTTCCCCAAGGTAGATTGGAATTTAAATTAACCAAATTTTCCCCAATGATCGGCATCAGGGTTTATTTAGTTATGTTCCACTTCCTATAAGCGCAAGCCCTCATAGTTAATTACCCCTCCTAACACGTATAAAAGAACTCTCGATTAAGGATGAATCAATAATTAAATGTGCAGCAGTTTTAAATTTTTGTTGTGGGGGATGAAGGTAGACCCGATCAAGATCCCATGGTTTCGACATTCCGGGAATATCATAAATTTCAGTCTACCAACACTAACAATCGTCGATCGTAGTGTCCAGAGGATCTGATTAGCAGCCATGGGTTGCCTCCTCTCAGGGATCCCGAGTAAACTGAAGTGGATAGGTGTGGATTTTAATTTTTATTATGGTTTAGGGATTTTTATATGTTAGAAAACCTAGTATTTAAGTAGCTTGGGATTTATGACTTCATTTAAAGTTACCTAGCTGTTTGATTTAAAATTGGAGTCGAGACTTTTGGCTTTTATTAAAAGTAGCTAGTATAACAAGTCTTACAGCTTCCCTTGGATGTATCCCGTGCAGCAGATCTTACGGCCTCTATTAAAGGTTGCCAAAATTATTAGGGATGTGTTATTTATTCTGAGAAAGTTTTCCCTAACACCCTAATTAAAGTGGGATTTACGGCCTCTATTAGAGGTGGCCCGTATAAGGGGTTTAGGGTTAGGTTGCTTTTACCTAGAGATCTCCCTTAAAGTCGGACTTATGATTTCTATTAGAATTTGTCAGTTAAACTTGGGTTAGCGGGGGTTTAGTATAGTGGCGTTTTAGTAATAGACATGTAATTTTGCATTTGAGTGTGTCTTATTGCTTCTATTAGAAGTAGTCTGATTGTTTCAATTAGAAGCTTCCCCTAGTTTGAGATGGGGTTGATTACTCCTCTTGGGAGCATTTGTTGCTCCCCTTGGGAGGGTTTATAACTATCCTTGGGAGATTGTGTGCATTAATTTAATTGGGATTTACCCTGCTTTAGCTAATAGTTGCCTATTAGGCTAGTTTTAGAGTACTTGCACACCCTACTGCCCGACACCAGTACTTTCTACCCTAGCTTTTAGTAGTTTACTATGGTTTTACTTGTAGTAATGCTCATAGCTTGCCTACTTCAGTAGTTTGTCTTTTTGCTTTAGTATTGTTATTTGTTCAGTACCATATTTACAACACTTTGTTTCGTCTACAGTTCTAGTTTTCTTTCAACGCTAATTTTTCCTGTAATGGTACCTTTACCTACTTGTTTGTTCTTTCTCATACTAGTTTTGTTCTTTCCAATATTAGTTTTGTTTACCATGCGCTAAGTTTCATCTACTTGTGTGCAGGTATACGTAGCTAGCAGTGGTTGCAAGAGCTAGACCTTGCTAAGAGCTGGACCATACTAGGAGTTGCTTAAGTTTACCTGGGTTTTTGGAGTTTTCTATATGTTTAATGTTTTCTTTAGTTTTAGGAGTCTGCTTAGTTGGTATACTTTGTACTTAAGGTTGATAATGTGAACATTGTCCTCTTATTTTTCTTTGATGCATTTTAGTAAATTTTGAATTAATTTTGCATTAATAAATAATAATTAGGTTAATTAATTAAATTAAAGTTTAAATCTTAATTTAAAATTAATAGCTTTGCTTGTAAGTTAAAATTTTAAATTTTAAATTACATAAATATTTTAATTTAATTATTAATTAAATTGGTTCTCAATTAATTTAATTAATTTAAAGATTTAAATTCAATTAATTGTTTCATTAATTAGATATTAGTTTAATTAAATTAAAATTTTATTTTCAATTATAGTTTAATTAAGTTTTAAATTAATTAAAGCTTTTATTTTCTTTAATTAATTAGTTAAATTAAATTAAATTTTAAATTAACTATTCAATTAGATTTTTAATTATTTAAACTTTAGTTTAAATTAATTATAAAAAAACTTTATTTAAAAAAATGAATTAATTAGTTATTTAATTAGGTTTGTTTTAAATCAATAATTAAAAATTTAATTTCATTTTAATTAGTTTAAATTATTTAATTTGAAATTGATTAAATTAATTAATTAAAGGAAAGTTCAATTTAATTTGATTTAATTAAATTTAAATTAAACGGTTGATTAAAATTAAAATTTATTTTAAAATTAATAAATTACTCTCCGATAATTTCTAGAAATTTGGTAAATCTCCCAAAACAGTTTTCTAAGGAAATTTCAGCAAGCTACCGATGTCCCTTCCACACGAGATGAGGTTGGGGAGAGCACTTGCCCTTTCAGTTCCACTCAGCTGGATCAAATCGAAGGCCGAAAAGGAGCGAATCAACCCCAGTATCGGTCTTCAAGTCCTCTAATTCGATGCTTGCGGTATTTCAGTGTTTTCCCGGTATTTCAACAGCCTCATGATGCCCCCTCCCCACAAGGGGAGGTTGGGGAGGGCACTTGCCTTTTTGGATCCACTCGGCAACAAACACGCAAAGTGTGACGAAAATCCATAAATCATAGAGCACAAAATATGTAAAGCAGTGGTTTTAGCTTCAAATATTGAAGCAATCACGCAAGAACCTGAACTAAAACCTAGCACTTACAACCTTTTGAGATGAACCTACAACATATAAACCTATAGATAGGATACTTCAAAAGTAGATTACACTATTTAACATAAAAAAACATGCATGAAATGAGCAACAAATGGTATCATATTGAAAGTAATCTTACAATCCTGCAGCACAATAAGAATAATAAAAAACGAAAAGAATAGAATTTGAAGAATATGGCCAAATTACTACAATTAAGTTACACTATTATAAACCTAGCACACGCAAAAGTCTAGAAACAAGCATGCAACGTGTGAGGAAAATCGGCATATCATGGAATGCACAATAGGTAAAGTGTTGGTTTTTGGCTTAAAATTTTGAAGCAAATCAAACAAGAACATGGACTAAAGCCTAGCATTTGCAACCTTCTGGGATGAATTTACAAACATAAACCTATAGATTGGACCCTTGAAAAGTAGACTTACATTATTTGACATCACAGAACAAGCATGAAATGGGCAACCAAAGGTATCACATTGAAAACAATCTTACAGTAATTTAGCACAACATGAGGAATAAAGTGTGCAAAGAATAGAATTTGAAGAATATGGACAAGTGTCGCAACCAAATTAGACTATAATAAAAATAGACAAAGAACTTGGAATAAACAATAAGTCAAAAAAACAAAAATTCAAAGTGTGATGAAAATATGCAAATCACGGACCTTACAATATGCAAAATTTTATTCTTTTAACTTAAAAAATTGAGGCATAACACGAGAATTTTGAGTAAAGCCAAGCACTTGCAACCTTTTGTGACAAATTTACAAATATAAACCTATAGAATGGATGTTTAAAAAATATAACTACATTATTCGACATGCAAGAACACGAATAAAATGAGCAACAGGTATCACATTGAAAGCAATCCTACAATAAAGCACAACAAGAATAATAAAAAGTTCAAACAAAATTTTAAGATATGAATAAAGTGGCAAAACTAAGTTAGACTATAGGACTACGATGGTTGATAAAAGATATTGGATAGCATCCAAGAGAAAATTAAAAGACATGGAATTAGGTTCTGGAATTGACATTAAGTGGAAGAGAAGTGAAATTAGAAATGATTAAATGCAAAATAATTATAGTAGAAAAACATGGAAGTAGCACCAACAAACAAAGAATGTTGTAGTGCATGAGGTGAATAGAGCATGAACAATGCAGAATACAAGACATGTCTATAGGGTAAGAGAAAGAATTCATGGAAATAAATGGTAAGGAAAACTGGTGCACCAGTGGTAAAATGGTTAGAAGTGGAAATAAAGGGTGCTCATGGAAACTAGAATCAATATCACTTGTAACACGTTCACATAAATGATGAACATGGTAAAAGAATTTATAAAGTTGGGTTTGGCATAAGGAAGATTCTGATGATTATTGGTATAAATAATATAAGTTTAGTAATCATCCACAAGTCGAGCATTTAAACCATGTTAATTAGGCCATTATTAAAACATGAAATTTGTCAATAAGTATTTAAGTGAGATCATAAAAACTTTCCATTACTTGAATAAGGATGATAAATAACTTAAAATTAAATGCATAGATTGCTTGACTGAAGCAAGTACTTCAGTCAAGCCTGGCATCTAAAGAACTAAGAAAATGGTAAACAAACATTTTGGAATGTTTCCAGGAATATGCAACAGTATTGAGAACATTATGCATTAAAAAGACAAGGCTCGCTATCCAATACACAGGATTCACGTAAAAGTAACCACAAAATAATCCTAGGATATCATTCAATGTATCAATCAAGATATACCTGGTTGCCTGCTTCCAATATGCAAGCCAAATGGCAAAAATGAACCAGAAAGCTATTTGTCCCATTAAAAGAGTAATGTTATACACCTCAAAAGTTTCCACAATAAGTTAAAGATTTTGTGAGGATGTGTGCCCCAAGCCTAGCTGGATATAGGACCTAAACTTTATAACTGGGGACACTTAGGCTTGAAACATACTACTATGGATTTTATGAGGATATGTGCGGCAAGCCTAGCTGGATATAGGACCCACCCTTAATAACTGGGCCAACTAGACTTTGGCCATATATCCATATAACATCCATAAATTATTGAAAATTTTTTAGAGTGTAGAATTACCCTACTAAAAATCCATCAAAAAATGTTTTAAATATACAGCAATGGAAAATATTGTGAATATAGCAACGCACAAGTGAGGTAGATTTGCATCATCCAACAAGGAAGTTTGTATAAATGCATTACATCTTATCACTGATGTCCTCAAGCAAGTGCATAAGTTTCTTAGCCAATTGCTGCCTTCGATACTCACAAGCAACTGTTACAGCAGTTACGTGGCCATGCCAAGATTCACCCTGGCCTTCAACCTTACCCATTACTGCAGTATTTGCATTCCAAATATTACTTACATGTATCATAAGGACATCCAAAACATCCAAAAATAAATAAGCCGCGAATGTTCAAAAAATTATCACCAAAAGACATGAAACGTACAGAAGCAATTAACCAGCAGCATGCCTTGAAATCCAAGTTTTTCAAATTGAAAGACCAAAATTGCATCAAAGAAAAATAGCAGAAGAAATACACTACGGCAAAACCTCTAGCAACACAGCATTAGCTAGCTTATAGGGGGTCAATTAAGAGATCGAGACTAAGAAGAGATATTCAGTGTATAAAAGAATTAGGCTAAGAGCCTGATTTTTTTTTCACCATAAAGATTGCACGTTCAATCCTTTAATCAAACGTCTGTAATAAGCCATGAGTGCTCTGATCATAATACTCAATTTCTCCATCATAAAAGGTTTTCATACAAGTATTCCAATGCCTGGTTTGCATAAATTGTTCCAAGTGAATAACAAGTTGCTGAAATCTATATCAGAATGTCCAGTATTACCGTAATTACTAGAGGACAGATTAATGAATAATTCTTTCCCATTATTCCTTGGGAGCACTTCATTTCCTTCAAATCTTGTTTGAGTAAATACTCTTGGACAAATTTTTTCCAGTTTGCTCTATGCCATCTCTCATATGGACCTTCCACATCACTCATATCCACTGCCTTACTGTTGATATTCTACTGATTGCTTGATCTACAGTATTGGCATACAATAACGGTTAAATCTCCAAATGATCCCCCAAATATTCATTTGTACCCATATTAGCCCTAGAGTGTCACATTTCTCAAATTTAATCCCTTGATTATACAGAATTAATCCAACATAGTCCCTTAGAACCTAAATTGGGATCAATTTTTTGTATTACAATTTCAAAATGAGGGACCATTTTGAATCGACTTTATATAGTCAAGGACAAATTTGAAGAAATGTGATACTCCATGACTAAATTAGTCACATGCGAATAATCAGAGCACAATTTTGTGGATTTAAACTTATATAAATCATATGAAAATAATAAGCATGTTGGAGTAGTTCAAATAAAAACACTAAAACAGGCTCCATGCATAGAACAAGTAAGCCTGTTGAAAAACTTTTTATTTGGACCACTTGTTCTGTTGATAAAAAAGGATGTGAAAATGTGGGCTGAATTCAACACGAAAGACCAAGTCAAAAAAACTGAGCAATTATCATTCAATGGACAAATTTCACATCAATGAAAAAACAAACTTTCTGATTTTTTAGTCTTATTTATTTTTCCTTGGGAAAAAATCTTTGATAATAAAATAGAAAACTAATTACACTCAATGAATATGATAGCTTGCTATGTCCGTACAAAAATCACCCATTTCTCAGAGAACTTACTCCTCAAAATGCAATAAATTACTTAGCCAACTCGACAACTTTGAAATTCAACAAAAATTTCTATTATCAGGAACTCCGTTCATAAGAAGTATCAACTCAGCAACTCAAAATAATCGAGAACTCTTAGTTGATTCAAGCTTGAAATGGTCAAACTTCAAGAAAAAGAGTTTGAAACGTTGGCAACATAGATCAAAATCAAAGAAACTAATTTCATAAATACATACTCAAAGAGATAAGCCTTAAAATTTGAATAAGCAATCAACATATTACACAGTCCACAAAAACAATCAAAATCACTTTTTTTTTTCCATTAGATGAGCACTTAATAAAGAGAGTGTGGTCAGCCTAGCATTGAATGTATCCATAACTTTCAACATATTTGAAAAATCTGTCAAACCATGCACAAGGCAATTGTTTGAAACCATATAGAGCTTTTCTAAATCTACATAGCTTATTAGTGTTTCTCTAATTTTTCAATCCATGTGGAATCTTCATTTATACTTCCTTCTCAAGCTCCCCGTTAAGAAAGGCATAAATAATATCAAGTTGATACAGAGGTCAATTCAATTTTACTGTAAAAAAGGGAAAATCTTGAATTGTGTTGATAATATGAGAGAAAATTAGATAATCAACGCCATATAATTTACTATACCATTTTTTAACAATATGGATTTTAAATTTATTCATGCTCCTATCTGCCTTACATCTGACCATAAGATCCATTTGTATCCCACATATTTTTTTCTGGTGGAAACTTCACGCATACCATTCTTCTCTAAAGAATGAATTTCTTCCACGGCAACTTTCTTTTACCAGGGGATTTATAGAGCTTCCTGCACATTGTTTGGAATATGTATATTATCAAAAGAAGTGACAAAAACATAAAATCCAAGCATAAAACCTTTAATAATCCATGGAATCATATATTGGGTGTTTATTAGGAATTAATTCTTTATTTCAATTTCATTCCCGTAACTCCCCACCTGGCTGAATCTCCCAAATTCCCCAATGCTTGCAGTTATTTCTTAAATCAAATCATTGATTTAGGAAATCAATTCCCTTCTTCCCCTTTTCTCTCTCCAATACCTCTCTTGACTCACGGCTAAATCCTCCATCTCAACTCCCTACCTACCACACTTGGAAAATCTGAAATTCTACTCAGATTTCAATCTCAAAAACTGAAATTGTTTCAGTTTTGTTGGACAAAAAAATTGGAATTTTTGGAGTTGAATTATTCCTAAAGTCTACCCAGGTTTTTGTGTTTCTGTTTGAGATGAGCTTGGAGCTTGTTTCCCCTCTCCTACCTAGACAAAATCTGAGTTTCTTCTCAGTTTTTCTCTTCACCATCAAGGCTGAAATTTCCCAAGGCCTCACCTAGGCTTGCATTCAGATTTTTGGGAGAGAAGATCCTCTCCCTAGCGAAGCCGGCGTTTCCGTTCTACATCAATCATCTATGAGTTTATTCTCACCAATTTGTACGTCAATGGTCCTTGAACCAATTTGAATTCTTGCATGTGCTGGAGATATGATTGTCCCCTTTATTGATTTTTCTTTTTCTTTCTAATATAAGACAAATCACATTCTACATAGGTCGGGTGCATTTTATAAGCTGCTGAGGGAGTTTGTGATTATGATGGGGCTTCAATAAGTTGCATGTATTGACAAGTTGATGACTGTGTTTGCATTTCTAGTGAGGCTTTAGTAAGTTGAATAAGGGGCAATAAAAATATTCATTGTTAATAGGTTTGACGAGAAAGAAAGGAGAGTAATCAAATAAATTATAAACTCAAATCTATTGTTCTTAACTTTCCTCCTCATGAATTTCAGTTAAAGTAATAAGGCTATTGTTCAAAAAAAAAAATTATGTCCATGGAAATATATATTTTTGCTGATTAAGGAAAAACAATTGAACAATTTCTTATCTAAGGAGTATCCAATAAATATACACTTGATAGATTTAGGGTTTAATTTGTTTCAAAGCTGAGAATTAAAGTGAATAAAAACTGAACACCCATAGATTTTTAAATGAATCAAGGAAATGATTTTGGTCTTGAATAATGACTGGAAAATGGTTTGAACACTGCTTTAAAATTTAAGTACTCATGAGTGCATTCTATCAGTGAGATAATCATTTGTTAAGACAGCTTTTCCTTAAAGATACTGAGGAACATTTGTAGAGGAGTTTAGTGATCTGGATACCTCTATGGGGCATCTATTTATCGTTTCATCAACCACATTTTGGTAAGGGGTGCCAACACAAGAACCTTAGTAGATAATCCTTTGATGCATGAGATAATTTCTCAAGATTGATATGAAGTATTCTTTATGATTGTCAAGTTTTAGGACTTAAATATTGGACTAAATTTAGATTGTCTCATAGTGTTAAAATGTTTAATAAATTACCCTGCTTCAATTTTTTTTCATTAAAAAAAGCAAAATATTTGAATGGGAAATGAATTATTAGTGTGCTTAGCCAGATAACAAATTTAACATTGAAAGACCATTGAATTTATTGGTGCATGAAGAACAAATTAATTTTTCAAGGTAAGTGAAATTTGGGTGCCCTAAACGATAATGCTTAAGTCATACATCACTATCAGTATTTGAAGCATGTTTAAAATTCATAATGGGAGTTTTGGTGAAGCCCATCCGTTACTCAAGGATCATTTTTTTAGAAGATAGAGTCTTGAACACAAATTAGCATTGTTAATCATCATCCTTAAGTTCTAAGTCCTGAAAGTGACAAAAGATACATAACCTGCCATTATAATTCGTACCTTATATAGTAAGTTACAATCTAAGTTGAGCACCAAAAACACATTCAAATGTCATATCTTTTAAAAGAATAATAGATTTTTTTTTCTGATAACTTTTGATAGTGACCAATCTACAATTCGGACATCATAATTTCATGGCATGAGATGTGATTATAGAAGAATTTTTTCTCTCTTCTTATGTGATTTGACGCTTCCAAGTCTACTATCCGAATAATAGTTTTATTTTTACTTGTAATGAGGGAATCTAAGAATTTAACCTTTTAAGCAATCAAGCTTCTTCCAGTAATCTTCTAGAATAAGCTTCCGCTAGGATAATAATTGCTTATCTTTACTTTACTGTCCAAGTGACTGGAAAAGGAAGGAGCTATTGTGATTTTTCTTTGTTATTGGCTTTCTTCAGAAATTTTCTAATCCAATTTTGTATAATGAATTTTCATTTTTTGGATATAATTTCCTCATTTTAGTTTGATTTCCAGCATTAGAGTTCTCAATTTCTTGACCATTGGCTTATTCATAGCTAGTGTCACCATCTTCTTTCAAGGAGGATCCTACATGTATCTTTTCACCACTCTTGTTATATGAATACTGACTTTCAATGTTGGTGATAGACCGGCTGGCCGGTAGAAGAGACTCCATGTTGAAGCAAGGTTTAAAATTGTGTAAATAAGCCTCGAGGCGTTTTTCGTCCGTGAGGCGAGGCGTAAGCCTCGAGGCTGTGTGAGGCGTAAGCCTCACCGAAGAAGAATTGAATAAATGAGAATTTAAGGGTTTTAGCAAGTAAAAAATAGTAATATTCTTTCATACAATAAAAACATCTAAATGACAATTAAAATTAGGGGAAA